GAGTTTTTAAGTGTCAGTAAGCAAACCTTTAAAGGAGAACTATGGGGTCAGTGCTTTTCCCCATAGTTCTAAGGGTCACGGGAGGACACAAACTAGCGTTCTCCCGTGACCCAAAGCTCAGTATGCCGCGAGCTACCGCTTGCGGTTATACTGAGACCGCCGCAGCTGGGACGGATCCCGACATTACTGTCGAGATCCACCCAGCTGCGTGATTGACAGCTGGCTCTGCCTATTTAGAAGCAGAGCCAGCTGTACCCGCCCCCTCCTCCGTCCATTCTGCCAGTCAGCGCTGGAGGATCGGACAGGGGAGGTGGGGAATACATGCAGAGAGCCATGAGTGACAGTCACGGCTCTCTGCAGGGACAGGATCGAGAAGTGAGCGAGCTACAGTATGTGTTAGCTCACTTCCCGATCTACTGAGCCGACGTGTGACAGTTTCATTGTCACACGTCGGCTCGCATTATGAGGCTGAGTGATTTTAACTCACCTCATAGTTCTCCTTTAAAGGGAAGCTGCCATCATGATACATACCTGGGAAGGGGTGGTGACAGATTTTCTTTGTCCCCTCACCTCATGCACATTGCCCATTTAGCCCTAGTATTCAGATGTGGCAGTGTGTTATGGGGGCTTCTACAGTTGGAGGCTTTTCAGTTAGGTATGCAGCATGATGATACATTCTCTATATAACCTCCGTTTACATTGTAATGTCATAATGCAGTTACATTTTTATTTGTGCATTTATATTAAGGCATAGCTGTGCAGTAACAGCCACTCATAGCGCAGTTTTGCACACAACTTGATTCCTGAGATATACATGTGTAGGCAAAATACAAATGTAAGAAATACACAAAAAAACCTGCATGGCATATCTGAAAAACATCGGGGTCATTCCTTGTAATTCCAGCTGTTTTAAGGCAAAGAAAATGGATATAAAACAGATGCGTCAAAGATCAAACAGGGACAGGCAGCTTCACAAGAGCAAAGAAAACATACATTGGGACTTTAGTATGGTAATGCAAAGCCCAGTAATGATATCCAAAGTCCTGTGACTGAATTTAATCCGATTTCATTTAACTATATCCTCTGAAAATTAAAACATATAAACACACAACCTGACTGGGTGGTATGATCCATCTTTACCCACTTACTTACTAAATAAACCTAACTGTCTTAAAACAGTGGCAGATTCCAACATATATAGTAGAAATGCCCAGCTTACCAGTGCAGTGAAACAAGTGCTAAGGGTAAGCCCCTTAAAGCTTTAGGTTACCCCTTTGCATGAGTACCTTCAGTGAAAAGTACAGTAGATAATCAGCAGATGCAGATGAAGTTAAACACAAATCTCAATAAAGGTGCCCATACACCTGCCGATTATCGTACGATAATTGCGGGAAATCCCGCGATCGTACAATAAATCGGCAGGAGTATGGAAGGTGTGCGTCCGTTTCTACTGTACGGTCACACGCCTTTTGTCTTACGAGCAGGCTCGAAAACCCGCAGAGAATCGTACGATTATCGGCGGGTTTGTGGCCTGCTCATAAGACAAATGCCGCACGGGCCGGTGTGCGCAAGCCCACACTGCCCGTTCAGCATTGCAGTCATCGGAAGCCCGCCCCTCAGGGGGGCAGGCTTGCTATGATCGCAGGTACGATCTGCCTGTCCAAGATGGGCAGATCGTACGTTTTTTTAATTACCTTACAACCATCGCAAGACAAAAGTCTTGCAATGGTTGTAAGGTGTATGGCCAGCTTTAGATCTGCCTCTCTATTAATCGTTTAGTACAGTGGTTCTCAACCTCTCTAGGGCCGGGACCCCTTGGTAACATTTGCCAAGTTGTGGTAACCCCCAACCGTAAAATTTAGGGATGCACCAATACTAGTATCTGTGTGGGCTCTCGGGGGGCTATGCGGGCTCTCAGGTGGCTAGTGGGACTCTCTGTTGGAGTCCAGTGTGGGCTCTGTGGTGCCCAGTGTGGGCTCTGTGGTTATCAAGCACTCACCTCCCCTCACTCCTGCCTGCTCCCCTCTCTCTGATCCTCTCTGGCCACTGCTGCTGGAGCGTCATCTAGGAGAACTGACACTGCTACGCTAGGAGGAGGCTGAGGAGCCTCTTATCTAAAGCAGCACAAGGATATGTGGGGACCCCCTCAACTGTGGGTTACGACCCACTTTTGGGTCACGACCCACAGGTTGAGAACCACTAGTTTAGTATGACTGGCAGCTTCAATGACCATTGGAAGGTGCAAACGTTTGGTCATGCTTGGCTTTTATAGGAAAATTGAGGTTAGTATACAGTATAACTTTAACTGCCTATATCTCTAGCTTTATGGACTCTTTTGGACACCGAAGGCGACATCTGCTTCTATATTTTATAAGCATACAGTACATTCAAACTGAACTGCCCATGTTAAAGCCATGATTTAATCTGCCACCATCTACCACTGTCCCAAGAAATCCTATAAAAATGTATTTAGTGATAAGTAAATTGGATTGCATTTCAAAACAAAGGCAACAACAAATTGAAAGAAATAACACAATATATTCAAAGAAATAGTGTTTTTGAAGTGGGTCAAGAGTAATTGCAGCTAATAACATTTTCCTGGCATGTCTATAATCACTCTTGAATGACCCGTGTGATAGTGGTTTGTATGCGCTTTTCACAACAGAGCCTCCAGTGTTTTGAGAGTTGTGTCTGCATTCTGGATTCATCCTCTCCACAGTGGGTATGTCAGATGAATTAGCTTCCTGTTACTATGCAGGGATGATAAATGTTCCATGTCACTCGGCTGCAGTTGAAAGTCAAACACCTGTCAGACACAGAACCAATGATTAGAATCACAGGGATCTCAATGTGCTATTAGCTTATACAGTAGCATTTCAAGATGCTTTAAAAAAAAAATGCTCAAGCTACCAGCTCGTCTACTGATACTGAATGGAAAAAGTGATACAAAATGACAGTGGAATTTCAGAAACAATACCATGCATGCCAGCAACACTTGTATCGGTATATGGTTTATTGATGCACTTTTCTTCCATAGCAGCTGGCTAATTGTTTCGTAGTAGTATAATCGCGTATGTCCAATCAATTAATCCACAGTAGGTTGACTTTAAAACATTCTTTTGTTTTTCGTGGAACCAAAAAAAATTTGCAGTTTACTTCAAAGGTAATTGTGAAATAAATGTGACATTTTATCTATGCCTGTCATCATTGTATTTGTTACGGACGCAGGGCACTAAATACCATAAGGCACTTCTGGACCATACTTTGGCGTACATCAAAAACACAATTTTTCTTATTATGTCTTTAGTTTTGTGGTGTAGGGTGCAGGGGAACCCTGCAGCAGAGGCATCATGGAACATGGGAGTTCGAGTAACATACAGCCATTTCCACTTTTGCTCTAGGCTTTGCATTGGGGACTGTCCACTCCAGTGCCACCCCTGCACATAAAGCACAAAGCATTTACATTTCAATAGCACCCTCTAGCTTTATTTCGAAAGGCAGTAATAAAGTATAATGACAAACAGGGTAGAGCTTCCAGGAAAGCATGTTATCATTCATACAGTATGTGCCTAGGGCACTGGTGTTCAATGGGGATCCTAAAGATCCTCTAAGAGCTCCTGTTTTTTCAGTTCTTTCCACAAGAAAAATAAATTGTGTTGTTCAGAAAAGTTATGCAGCAAAGACATCAGATGGCCATCTCCCAATCTGGTTTACTTTGGCATACAATCCCTATGTCTGGGCATAAGTGGACCTCTACAGACCTCCTTGGCTAACTGATCTTGAAGGGCATAGTGTATGACTATGTTAATTTTGGCTGTTTGCTATTGCCTATTACTAAGTAAAGCTAGCACATCATCCTACTCTTCTTCTTCCCTTGCCGTAGTTATAAATATGCATGCTTGGGGATTGTTATTAAAAGAGCATTCAAAGGAATTGCACAGTCAATTATCTCCATATATAGATTTATACAGGAATTTATACAGGCTTCTAATTAATGAAACTGTCCTCTTACATAATGGAGATATCATGCAGCGCTACTGGGATTAATGGTTTGGAGCTGAGCATCACTGGGTTAGTGCAGCAAGATTTCTAAATACTGCCTTGATTGGGTACAATTTAAAGAGACTCTGTCCAGTGGCGTCACAGCCCGCAACTGGGTGACACCATTGGAGCGGTGGTACCAAAGTGACTGACAGTCATTGTGGTGTCACCCCCTCTAAAAAGTCGGGCACTCGGTCATGGACTGAGAGCCCAAAAGTGTCAGGAGAGAGGAGGGGACCCGGCGGCATACCTCATCCCGCCGGGTGAACGTCCCCTCCTCTCTTCGCCGGCGTCCATCACCAACATGGCCGCCGCCTGGCGTCAATTAGATGACTCACGCTCATGCGCGATGATGTCACTGCGGGGTGCACCCGGTCTCTGCTCCAGGTGACACCTTGCCTCGGGACGCCCCTGACTCTGTCACTAAAATAGTAATTACACACATAGTGTCCCCTGCAAAGAGAAGTGTTCATACTTTTCCAAATGTGTGAGCTGCTGATCTGCGATGTACTGCAAAGTTACCGCTGATGAAGACCCTTCAGCATTCAGAACATCTCCTGAATGTTTCGGATGCCTGATCTTCTGCTGCACTCAGTGATTTCATCTGCTGGCCCCTACCTCACTACTGTTTCCTGTAGTAGGGCAGGAATGGGCAGGAGGAAGCAGAGAGAATAAATGAGGACCAGGAATCTGACACTCCTAAGCCTTGGATTCAGAAAATTCTTCAAGCAGCTGTATATCTGCAATAAAGTGCAGATCAGTGACACGGGCAATGAGTGAGGGAAGTATTAACTTTTTGCAAGGGTCACTTTGTTTTTAAACAGAGGCCCCTAAATGTCGTCAGTTTTTGATCCACTTTTAAATATAGCATGAATCAGGGATCTACAATTATAACTGTTATCTAAATTATTCATAATTTTAAGCTTTGTTCTGGGGAGAAGTATATATGAAATAAAAAGTTACTGAACACCTACAGAGAGGCCATATCACTTGTAGATGAAACACAAATGTAGCTCCATGGGGTAATCATGATTCTAGAAACTACAATGATCCAATCTGCAGATACATTACTTGAATATAATAAAGGTCTCTAAATTCTACATCTAGGAATAAAGGTGACTTCATGTCAGCACCTCACTAGGAAATGTAGATCTGGTCAGATTCTTATGTACTGGACGTCATCCAAAGCTGGGAATTCCAGACAATTTGTTTTCTTTAAAAAATTATAACAGTCTATGTTGGCCAAAGCAATTAATCTATTAATCAGTGCGCTCCTGTCGTCTTGCTAGCAGAGGTCAGAAGTTTCAGTTCATCTGAGTCTACGTACATCACAAATAGTTTTCACTAGTTCATAGTATTTATACGTGAAGTTTTATTTTTACCACTGTGAGTCAAAAAAGTATAAAAGGTAGTAGAATATTGGTTCATTTAGTCCACATCCAACATTTTCAATTCAGCAAAATTATTAAAAATGTATCCAATTGTTCATCAAGAACTGTCCTTATAATCAGACCCTTGCAAAATCACCTCTTCCTGTGGTTACTGTCACATCAGATTATAAGACCAACAATGAGCACTTTGATGAAATGGGTGCTCCAACAGAGCTTGACTTTCAGGAAGCCTACAATTAAATATATGTGTATACAGTATCTTCTCATATAAACATTAAGCAGTAGAAGCCTAGAGTTCCACTTTAATTTTCAAACCTCACAATACACTTACAGGGTTATTCACAAGAGGGTGAAGATTTTGGAGAAGGCAGGAGAAGTGAACAATCTAGGACAACATTGCTGATTTGGAGAAATTCTCCAATGCAGCTCACTTTCCAGTTCAGCTATGTTGTCCTAGATTGTTCACCTCTCCTGCCTTCTCCAAACTCTTCAGAAACAGATCTTGGCAGGCTGCCGGCCTTCTAATGTAGACAAACAGCAAGTGTTTCTAAGTTGTTTGAAACTCACTAAAAATCTTGAATCTTTGTTGTGATCTTTGAGAATGAATAACTTCACATTATAAACAGCTAGATAGGTCAGGGATGATTTGTTTTTTTCAAGATCAAGTACTTGCGGATACCAATTACGGATACCAATTACCGATACTTTTTCTTAAACGGATATGTGACATTTTTTCTAAAACAATACAGACCAATGAATTTAGGGTAATTTCTTTATAATTATGAAGAACTGTAACTTAATCCATGATTATTCAGCCATGGAGAATGGCAACCAGCAATATAGGACTACAGATTCCATCAAGCCATGATTATACAGCAATGAAGAATGGCAACCGACTATAGAGGTCTACTAATCTCAGAAGTCCATGATTATTCAGTAATGGAGAATGGCATCCAGCAATCATGGCTGTGTTTGGGTCTCACCAGGACTGCATGAAAATCTAGCTACGGCTGCGTGCAGATCTCACCAGGGCTGCATACGGTCTCACCAGGGCTGCATGCCGATCTCACCAGGGCTGCATGTGGTCTTACCAGGGCGGTGTTTGGGTCTCACCAGGACTCCGTACAGATCTCGCCAGGGCTACGTTTGGGACTTACCAGGGCTGCGCGCGATCTCACTAGGGCTTCGTGTGGTCTCACCAGGGCTGCGTTTGAGTTTCACCAGTGCTGCGTGCAGATCTCGCCAGGGCTGCGTGCAGATTTCGTCACGGACGCGTGGAGATCTCACCAGGGCTGTGTGCAGATCTTAGCAGGGCTGCATGTGGGTGCCGGGCTCTCTGGGCAGTGCGGGTGGGTTCCAGGCTTGTGTCGGGCTCTGCAGGTGGGTGCCAGGCTCTGCGTGTGGGTGCTGGGCTTGTGCTGGGCTCCAGAGCTGCACGGCGGTGTGGGGCTGTCCTTTGCTGTGCCTGACTCTGTGGGCACTGGAAAAGAGGAGCATGAGATATGGGGCCAGACTGGCGCGGTCAAAGACAGCTACGGCAAGGTCCCAAGCCGGCTGCCTGAGGTCCCCAGCTAGCATGGGAGCTCAGGCAGCCGAACTTAAAAAATTTAAAATTTTAAGGGCTAGTATCAGCCTTTAGTATTGGGGCATTTTTATGAGTACAAGTACTCATAAAAATGCCCTGTATCAGCCCAGATACCGACACTAGTATTGGCATCGGGACATTCCTAGTAAATAGGTTCATACCCATAATCAGGGCACATGTGCACTTTAAAGTGTATCTAAAGCCAAAACTTTTTTTAAACTGGGAAAGGGTTAAAACCCGTTAGTTTGAAACTGATTCCATTAGGGATATGCACCCTCTTATTTTTTCCTGGTGACCATGGTCAGTTGGACAGAAAATGATTGCAAATACAAAAGTTTACAGCTATCACTGGGGCAGAAGAACAAAAATCCTCCCATGAGTGGGGGTCCCTGTTCCAGTGACAACTGACGATCTTTGGATCACTTTGGAGAGGCTCCCTGTCACTTCTTGTTTTGTCTCCAAGGGGTAAAAGCAAATCTCTCCAGGCAGTAAAAGATAAAAAACTAATTTTGTTGAACC